CTGGGATTCAAGCCACAATTGACCATGTGGTAGTCAAGCACCTTAACCTCTGCCACCTGGTGGCCCCTATTGGTGATCTTTATCCTGATACCAAAATAGTAGCTCTCCCTGCAAATATCACCTCTTCATTCGATAATCATACAGTGAATAGCAGTTTTTAAAGTCCATTACCTAGGGAGGACCTTTGGCCAGGTAGTTGCCACAACTGAGGAAACTGCTGAGATGCCGCCGATGGAATTCTGGACTGATTACAGTATCTGTGACTGCATTGAGAACTCTCATTGGGTGTGGGTGATGTTGCCAAGGAGTATAGGAACAGCACCTGGAATAAGACACTCAAGAGGTTCGGGGACCGGCAGATGCTGTGGTGGCTAAGGATGCTGGACTCCCACATGGCTGGCTGGGTTTGAGTCCTGGTCTGGTGGCTTGCTTTTTCACTCTCCTGCTCTTGCTCTGTCCTTTTTGGTCAAATTTAAATAAATAAATTGAATAATTCTTTAAAAAAAAAAAAAAAAGTTTTGTCCACATCTTCACATAACTCACCAAAGAGGAGGAGGGTGGAAAAAAAAAAAATCAATCACAACTCGTGGTTGAGATGGCGAAGAATTTTAACCTGAGTGTAGGTGAAGTTGACGTTGAGAAGTTCCTGGAGGTGGTTCCTAAGGAACTGAGTACTGAGGAGTTGTTGGAACTGAAACATGGATGCAGAGCTGAAGAGGTGGCAAGAGGAAGGGAAATAGCAGGAGAAGAAAGAGAACCCTTTAAGAACGTTCACAGTGGAGGGTTTAATAGAAGTTTGTGCAAATTTCTATTGGATGGTTGAAAAAGTCAAAGCACATTTTACATAGAAAAACATAGAAAAAAATAGGTCATGATTTTTTTGACAACCCAATACAAACTCCTTCAAAAATTGGGGCCAGCAAATGGCGTAGTGGTTATGCAGCAGTACTTTCACATGGCTGACCACGGTTTGAGCCCCGGACCAGTAGCTCAAAACTCCTACTGGGTGCATGTGCAGGCATGCCCAAGATCCCAAGAAGAGAATGGGGGAGAGGAAACTGCAGTGTGACCATCCCCTGTGGGAGGTGATTTCTCACCCTCTGTCTCTGTCTCTCTCTGTCCATCTCTCTCTCTCTGGCAAGTACACATGCCCTATAGCAAAAATCTCTCTCAAAAAAAGTAAAAAATAGTACTGTAATGATTAAATTGTCCTCCCATCACCTTTTGTTCCCTGTTTTGTCTTTAGGCTTGACCATCCTTTTCCAGACTTGTCTTGAAGATACTTCCTTAGTATGATGTTCTGTTGATCTGTTCCTTTACTGACAATCGCCTTTTCCTCCTTTCTCAGCAGTATAAATGATGCTGTAGTGAACATACTGTGTATGCCTCTGTGCATGGATAAGGACATAGCTCAGAGAAAAAGGGTATGTGTTTAAGAGCAGGTAGTGGAGCCAGATGACCTGGGCTTGAATTGTAGCTCCCCTATCCATTGGTGGTGGTTTGATTTCTTTATGCCTTATGTTGCTCATCTGTGAAACAATGTGAACTATATTACGGGCTATTTGGAGGATTATAGACATTAACTTACACAAGCGTACCCATTTCAGTAGGGTTTCTTCTTTCAAATGTTTGTAATTCTTTGTCATTTTCAGCATTAATATTAATTATATATTGCAAATATTTCTCTCCCAGTCTGTTGTGTGTCCTTGATTTTATGCACTATTTTGTCCTGTAGAAGTTTCTATTTCATTGTACACAAATACGTTTTTTCTTCAATTAAAAAATTAAGTTTTAGGTTTTTTTGCCAGGGAGGATAACCACACTGCAATCCCTTCTCCTCCATTCTTGTCTTGGGATTTGGGGCATGCATGCACATATGCCTGGTGTGATTTTCAAACTGTCAGGTCCCAGAGTTGAACCATGGTTTGCCCTTTGGGAGTTCAGTGCCTTAACCACCATACTATGTGCTGGCCCCAAATAAATATATATATATATTTTTTCTTTATGATCTTTTTTCATTTGCTTAGTAGTTGAGGCCGTTTATCCTGAGGATAAACTGTTTATCTGTATCTTCTCAGATCTTGGCCAGTTTCTCTTCTTGCTTTCTGTCTACTCTATTTTGGAACAACTTTTTTAAGAAAGAAGGACCTTTTAACACTTTCACCTGTCTTCTCTGTTTTCTAGCTTGCCTTTATCTTTTCTTTTCTTTTTTTTTTAAGAAGTTTTTGCTATCGTGTGTGTGCACTCTCCAGAAAGAGAGAAACAGACAGAAAGCGAGGAATCACCCCCTGGCAGAGATGGCTACATCACAATCCCTTCTCCTCCATATTCCTCTTGGGGTCTTGGGCACACACGCATGCACACATGCCCAGCGTGAGTGTAAGCCACTGGGTCCAGGACTTGAACCGCGGTCAACTACATGGGAGTTCTGCAACGTAGCCATTATGCCATCTGCTGGTCCCTCTTAACTTTTCTTTCTCATTCTTTTCATGACTTTTTCTCTCTGGAAGAATTCCTTGGCTTGATCTTCCAGCTTGCTCCTGTTTTTAATCAGTTGTGCTTTTCTGTTTATCTATGATCGTTACTCGTTTTCATTTTTATAATCATCTATTTTGCTCTCATGAATAAGATGACGCCATCTCTGTTTGAGAACATTAAGTACATTGGCTAACCGAGTGGCACGCTCGTAACATAATACTTGGTGATGCTGAAATCACATAGAAGGCCCCTGTTTTGCATCCTGAGGTCTCCGTGTTTGTGCTGGTCACTCACGTGTGTGCTCGTGATCCTGACTGGCTGAGGTGAGGGGTGCATCCTGGCGTGGAGACTCTGTTGCAGGAAACTATCTC